TACAGCGGAATATTATTCAGCCTTATTTAAAAAAAAAAAGAAATTCTCTCACACGCTACAACATGGATGAGCCTTGAGGACATCAGATTATCTGAAATAAGCCAGTCACAAAAATACACATACTGTCTGATTCCACTTCTACGACGCATCTAGTCAAACTCATAGAAACAGGAAGTAGAATCAAGGTTGTCAGGGGCTAGGAGGAAGAGAGATGGGGGAGCTGTTCAATGTGTGTAGAGTCTCAGTTTTGCAGGATGAAAAAGTTCTGGAGATGAGCTGCACAACAGTGTGACTATTCTTAACATTATGGTACTATACACGTAAAAATGGTTAATATGGTAAATTTTATGTATGTGTTTTTTCACCACAATTAAATGTTTAGTTAAAAATTAGTAATAATATTAAGTCTTTCAACCCATGAACGTGGAACATTTTTACATTTATTTAGGTCTTCTTTATTTTCTTTCAACGATTTTTACAGTTTTTAGTGTATGAGTCCTGCAAACCTTAAATCAAATTTACTCCCAAGTGTTTTATTCTTCTTGATGCTATCATAAATGAAATAGAGCCAATGTGGGGGTGCGCCAGCTGTTGATAACACCACTTCAAATATTAATGCAAAGTGAGGAAATAACCATGGCATGCTTTCAGAGTCTCCACGTATGAACTTTGCAGTGAATCTCAATTAATCACCCGAGATCCATAAACAGACTCACTGACATACATTACAGCATCATTCTGGGTCTTTAGGAATTGGAGTAAGTTCTGCATAAATGAAAAAGAATCCACAAGCGTTTCCATTTCTCAGTACAGTGATTTTTGAAATCAAGGTATGATAGGGAAAATAATGGTCCCAAAGATGTCCACATCCGATTAGGATGCGGAGCCAGTAAATAGGCAGTGTGGCAAAGGAGAATAAAGTTGCAGATGGAATTACAGCTGTAATTAGCTAACCTTAAAACAAAGAAAGTATCTGTTTTGGCCCAACGTAATCACAAATGTCCTTCAAAGTGGAAGAAGGAGACAGAAGAGAGAGTTAGGTGTGATGACATAAGCAGGGTCATGGTGATGCAACATGAGAAAGACTCCACTCAACTTTGCTGCCTCATGAGACAGAGGAACGGGTCACGCGTTCGTCTGCTCAGGCTGCCGTAACACAATGCCACAGACTGGTGGCGTACACAACAGAAATGTATTTCCTCACAGTTCTGGCGGCTGGAAGTCTCTGCTTCAGGTACCAAATGGTTAAGAGGACAGAGAGAAGGAAAAAAAAAAAAAACAATGAGGACTCTTCCCAAGTCAGGAAGAAACGTTCCCTTTCCTAAGGATTTCAGGTGCCTGCCCAGCCACCATCCATCATCTGCTACTGTCACCACCGTGTTGCCTGGGAGTTTGGGCAAGAGATAATTTCTTTAAAAATCAGCAATTTTCCTTCACTCTCCCTTTCTCCTTTTCAGACCATAAAAAGGGAGCATCTCTTGGAGCTCTTTCTGTCTCTCTCTCTGTCTGAACCTAGTGTGTAGGTTTGGGTTTCAGGTTGCCCTTGAGTCTAAGCCAAGAAATACTGGAGAAGGGAAAGGAAAAATACACACCATGAGTTTGCTGGTATCTTGCACTCTAGTTTCCTTCCCGGGTCTGTTTGCTGCCGTTTATTTTTCAGAGACATCACGTGACTGTTCCCTGCCTTCTGTCTAGAGCTTTCAATTGTATTCAGTGGGAGAAACAGAATGGAGTGTGCTTACTACACCTTGACCAAAACTGGAACCTGTCTTCTGGCTTTTGCCTGCTCCCTGCTTTAGCGCTTGCTCCGTTTCAATGCCCCTTTGTTGCCTCCTCCTATTTGGTGGGCTTTAAATATTAGTGTTCCTCTAATTTCACTTAGGCAATCTTCTCACTCTACACTCTTTCCCTAGTTAATGTTAACCATGTTCATGAGTTAAATTATTCCATATATGCAAATACGTCACAAGTTTATATCACCAGGCTGATCTTTCTCATTAATTCCAAATGAATATCTCCAACTGACTCCTTGATACCTCTTATATATCCCAAAATCATGGCGAATTCAACATGTCTGAATTACAACACATGGTTTACCCTTCAAGCCTCAAACTTGGTCTTCCTCCAGTATTTGCTAAGTCAGTTAATGACATATCAGCCTCGTTTGACACTTAGAAGTCACCTTTGACATCCTCATCTCTCTCACCACAGGAACCGTCAACTACCTAATTGAATAGCCATCAAAAGTTTATTACATGCATATCTGTATTCAACAGATGTTCACTGAGTACTTGGTCCTTCACAAAAAGTATGCACTGGATGTCTTCCTTGTGCCAGACCTCGTGCTAAGGACTGGTACACAGTGGTACACGAAGCTGATACGATCCTGGACCCAGTGAACCTACAGACTAGTGAGAGAGATATTAAACCAGTAAACCCACAAGTTATTATCAAATTTCAAACTGTGATAAATGCTTTCAATAAAAGAAGAAACATAGAACACAATACTTTCATGGAATTTGGGGTCCCCAGAACAAAGGATGTAAATGGTGGGCAATCAGATTATGAAAGTCCTTGCATGTCATCTTAAGGACCTCAAGTTGTAGGATAATAAAAAGCCACTAAGGGATTTAAATGGGGAAGTGACATGATTCACTTTTTCTAAAGCATAAATCTGGTCATGTGATCATTCATTCAGGAATAGACTCTCTGTCAGAGGTGGTTTCACCTTCTCTGTCAAATATATTCCTCTTTTTAATAATATCTGACAAAGATCCCTTACCTGAGACTCTACAAAAGTAACGACTGTAATTAGTACTGGTTAAGATGGAATCTAACCCAGATGATGCAATGGACCATTTGCCAATAATTAACTTCAGTATTGCCTGTAATAGATGAAATGCATTTATATTTATATTCGCTTGTTGTTTTTCACAGCAATTTTTTGTGACATATGGCTGTAACTACGGTAACTCCTAGTCTCTTAATCCAAGAACTGCTAGGGAGAAATCTGCCCGGCTTCCATCCCGGGTCATTTTCTGACATCAGGGTCCTCCATAACCTGTCTCGGTGACCCATGTCAATTTGCTCAGTTCCTGTGTCAAAGCCGATACACTAATTACTGAGGGTGTTCAGTCTCTGTGTCTTCAAATTCTCACGGTTCACTCTTTGAAGCAAAGATTTCAGCTATTTCTAAAACTCCAGTTAGTCCTGTTTATATTTGGTACCACACATATTAGAGCCAATTCCAGGAGCCAGTTCATTCTACTCTAATATAAAATCCAGCTGTACTTCTCTAATAAAAGCCTACTGTAAAATGTCACTTCAAAGTGATTTTGAGATTGCCAGGAAATGAATATGATAGTTGGGTTGAAAAGGTTGCGGTATCTCAGAGAAATAATTACTGCTAGATGAAAGCTTCCTGGTCAGCAATCCCTTACCATCTTAAAACCATCCACTCAGGGCTTGTTTCCATCCCTCACCATCATACGTCTCTTGGCCACAACATCTGGCACCAAATTCGTCCCCTTGTTCCATCACCAGAATTTTGCCATGTGATTATTTCAAGTGTCTCTCTACGTGGACTACACGTCCAGGAATGTGCAACAGAAGCCCTAGGTCTAAGGGAAAGATCTTCGGGTTAAACAACCCCAAACTCAATGTCTAACACTGTTTTTTAGGTCTTTCTTATTTTGAAATGTATCAAGTGCGTCAACCTTCCTCCACTCAAACCCTCTCCCCTTCCCAACTCTAGACGTGGAGGTAGACAAGCAAGAATGTGCACATGGAAGCAGAAAAAAGTGGGAGGGAAAAAAAGGAAAAGGAGATAGGGAGTAATAAATGATAATCCTAATTCTCTTTTGGAATGATAGATTTTCGCTGGAAATGATGTCTCCCAATGCATGGTCATCTCATGACCTGTATCAGAATTTCTTGGGGATCTATTATGAATGCAGATTACCAGGACCCTACCCTGCTACTGAATCAGAGTATCTGAGAGGAGGGGCCCCGAATCTGCATTTTTAAGAAGCCATATTTTCATACAAATAAAAGATTTAAAACTACTCATCTATGTATTATCTCTATAATTTCTGGATATTTATAAAGCAATATATACCTCACTGCACATGCTGTTTCTTCTTAATTTTCCCAAGTGGTACTTATTTCTCAAATAAAGCAATTTGTTGAAAGCTCATAAATTTATTAGTTTACTGAATGACTGCTGTAAACATAAAAGGTACAAAATAATAGGAATCCATGCCCTTGTGAAGTCAATCATCCAATGAAGAAAAAAGTCAGACAGGAATGAAAAAAGACCCAATCAGTGTATGGGTGGTATGCTGGCACAGAAACGGATACAATGTGTACAAGGATCTAGGTGCTTAGAAAGCAAGGTTGGCAGGTGAGAAAATTAAGTAGGCATTGGCTGCCTTACTCGGGAAGTCAAGAGTTCTAATGAGGTTTGAATGAGGAAGGGTAATTAGGGAGCCACACAGTGTGCAGCACAAGCTCTGGCGAACAAGTCCAACGGACTGAGGGTCACAGTTCTGGTTCTCCAACTGTGCGATGCTGAGTAAGCCTTTTAATTGCTCATCAATTCTGTCTTCTCGCTTGCATAACCAAGGCCAATCTCTGTTGTTTCTTTGTTCCTTTATGTTCCCATCTCATTCTGGAAAGGATTTAACGCAGAGAAAGACAGACAAGTTCCCTCCTGGCATCAACATTCACTGACTCTAAATTTATCCAAGTTTCCTACTGGAGCAAATGTGTGATGACTCTAGAGCCCAAAACTTCTTACAATCATAAAACAGAAAAGACAGAAATTACCACTAAATGCAAATTGGAACCCCCTACGTCCACAGGCAATCATTCTGTGTACCCCGCTTTATCACAACTGTAAAATTACAGAGCTAAGTTTCAAGTCAGTGTTCTAAGGATGAGGACATCGTCGTGAATTTCCTGATAAAACCACAGGTACCCAGTCAGAGACCTTCCTGTGTTTAACACACGGATATTTTGCCCAGCACTTTTTTCACGGCATCTTTGACTTCCTTGTTCCTTAAACTGTAAATTATGGGGTTCAGCATAGGGGTAAGCACTCCATAGAGCAACGAGATGATTTTACCTATTTCTTGGGAGCCTGATGAAGAAGGCTTTAGGTACATGGAGAGGGCAGCCCCGTAATACAAGCTCACCACAGTCAAGTGGGCGCCACAGGTAGAAAAAGCTTTGTTTCTTCCCTCTGCTGAGCTGATTCTCAGAATAGTGGAAAGGATGAAGATGTAGGAGATGCAAATGAAGAGCATGGGGATGGGCAGAAGGAGCACGCTGACCACCAGCACGATCGTGTCCATGAGCAGTGAACTTGTGCAAGCCAACTTCGGCACTGCCAGAATTTCACACGTGAAGTGATCGATGAGATTCCCACAGAGGGGTGTCCGCAGGGCGAAGCCGGTTTCCAGCAGGGCCGTCAGAGAGCCCGTCACCCAGGAGACGGTAGCCATCTGCACACAGACCTGCCTGTTCATGACGATGGGGTACCTCAGTGGGTTGCAGATGGCCACGTAACGGTCATACGCCATCACAGCCGGGAGCACGCACTCCGTGGAACCCGTGGCAAGGGACAGGTACATCTGCACTGCACACCCAGAAAAGACAGTGGTTTTCTGGGATGACAGCAAGTTCACCAGCAAAGTAGGGATAGACGCAGATGTGTAACAAATATCCATGGAAGAGAGATTTCCAAGGAACAAGTACATGGGAGTTTGAAGGCGTGACTCTAGGACAGTGATTAAAATAAGAGCGCTGTTGCCTACGAGGGTTATCAGATACATTACAAGGCTGAGGACAAAGAGAACGATCTCTAACTCTGGGTATCGAGAAAAAACCCTCCAGGAAAAAAAAGCTCCAGATGGTGAGGTTTCCCCTTTGCATTTCCTTCCTTCCGTTCATTTCATTCCAGGACGCAAAGAGATGGACAAAGTATAATGCTCGTTGAGTTAGGAAAACACTTCTAAACTCATTTTCACTATTATGAACATAATTTTACCACAAGAAATCACAGGATAGTATGTCTATCAACCTAAGTGTGGGGCGGGGCAGGGGGAGGGGAACGGGTTTAATCTACATAAAAAGTTGATTCTTTCATGACAAAATTTAGAAAAGAGTGAATCTGAAAGCAAGAATAAACAAATTTAATATGTGAATCTCTGCTCATAATCCTCTGCTTGGCAGGCAGCAGGTTTTCAGTAAAGATTTGGAAGTACTGAGTGATGAAAAATATGAAAGAACACTGAATAAAGCATTGAGCACAAATTAGAAACGTCAGTCAGGTAAATGAGGATAAGAAAGTACATTTGTAAAACAGAAACCAGTAATGATCTGCACTGGAAGAAGAGGAGGCAAGTTGAAAGACAGAAATAAATGAATTTTAAACTAACACCTATGGAGTTCTGGGTCTATATGAACTCTGTCTTTCCCAGCTAACAGCTCAGAGGTCCAAACACTTGTCTCAAAAATGAGGACACTGTTTGAAGCATTGTAGATGCCCATCCTGATTATATTGAAGAGCCAGGTTACAAGTCACCCAAAATAACCCGCTTCATTTAAACATTATGACATCCATTGTACAGTTTCATTCATTATTGGGACCCACACCTTTGTAAATACGTGAACAGTTCTAAAAATTATACCCAGGCAATACTCTCGTTATACATTAAAACCCATGAAGATCCAGGAAACGCAGAAATTAAACTTCCTTTAAAAATTATTTTTAGGGTGGGAAGGGACAGATCGAGAGTTTGAAACTTGTAGATACTGACAGGCATATGCAGAATAGATAAACAAGATTATACTGTATAGCACAGGGAAATATATACAAGATCTTGTGGTAGCTCACAGTGAAAAAGAATGTGACAATGAATATATTTATGCTCATGTAAAACTGAAAAATTGTGCTCTACACTGGAAATTGGCACAACATTGTAAGCTGACTATAACTCAATAAAAAAAATTATCTTTAAATCTCTTTGCAACAATTTGGAGGGTATTATGCTTAGTGAAGTAAGTCAGCCAAAGACAAATATCGTATGATACCACTTATATGTGGAGAATAAAAACTCAAACAAACTAGTGAATATAACAAAAAAAGATTATAAATCATCTAATTATATACAAGACACTTAAGGTTTTATTTATTTCTTTTTTTACATTTCACATTGTTAACCCCCAAATAAGTTACAAAAACTTACCTTGCTTATGCACTGACACTGCTCTTTATTAGCATCAATCTTTTTCCTTTCCCCACTAGCTCTTTCCTTTATCTTTTCAAATACGCTTGTTCTTAAAAACTCCTCTCACTGTCATGCTACACAAGCAAACTGCTATCCTATTTTTTTGTTCTTTCTTTCGTAGGTAAACTCCTCAGTTATACAGTTTATCTTAACAGTTTATCAGACTCCACTTTCTTATCACCGGTGTCCTTTTCCCAATGTCTCAACTTCAGTCAGTATTATCATTTGCCTCCCAGTTCTCCATATTTAAAAAGCTGGCACAGATGGTGCTGGTGAAAATGATAATGCTGTGGGCAGTAGCTTATACCACGCCCCTCCAACAGCGGTGTGATATTTTTCAAATACTTTTCATGATATGACATTACTATCTCTGGCTTCTCCCCCACTGTATCTCATATCTAGCCTATTAGCCAATCCTTTCATTTTTTTTTTTCTGTTTTAGTCACCAGTCCCCAAGCAGCTTACACTGTAGGTCCAAACGTTATGAGTAATGCTGAGTACTCCCTGAGTACTCCCCAGTGTACCTCTCAGTCCTACTCCTCTCTGTGGTACTCGAGTGCACAGAGCTTTCACTTTTCTTCCGAGAGCTCCATCTTTCCTGCATCACAGTAGTTAGTTCTTACCCACTTGTTAGTTAACGGATTATTTCTGAGGGTCTTCTCTGCAGGCTTTACATTTGACAAATTCTCTACAAAAATGTGATTAAATTATTACAAGAGATGATTTCAAAGAAACTTAATATTCTGTGCTACTCTTAAGACAAACAAAGAAAACACAATTTTTTTTTTAGAACGAAAAATCAGCCCAACTGCCTTGGACTTGATGTTTTCTATTGTTTAAAAATAGCAACCAAGAAAACTGAATTCCCCATCACCAATATCAAATAAAATACTGTTTATGTTGTACTTGATAAAGTTAGCTATGTGCAAGAAAGAATGAAAGCATCTTTGTTAAAAATGTGAAACATACTACGTAAAAGTCAACAATGCTCTTCATTTCGTTCAGAAGTATTGACCGTTACCTCAATAACCAAAAATGCCAAAGGACAACAACTGAAATACTATGTAAATTTAAATCACCTGTTGTTTTGGGGGAATACTTGCCATCCCTGAACAATTTAAAGTTCAGCAGCTATCAGACGCAAAGGTTTGAAACTTCAGATCCTTCAGGGATAATGCCCCAAAGATCCAATTATATCAAACTTTAGAAAACTGAGACAGAGAGTGAACCACAGTTCCTCCAAAAATGATTTCAAAGAACTCGTAAAAACTAAGTTATCTATTTCTCCCTGTCCACCTGAGCTATAGCAAGATTCTTTTTCCTTGAATGATTACAGTTGTAGAATATTTAACAACATAGAGAGAAAAGATATCCATAGAATTCTAAGACACATATTTTTTCATCTGTGAAACTACTCCCTAGTTTTCAGAGATTAAAGGGAAAAAGGTTTACTCCTGAAGTCACTTGTCCCAACAAGTGATCAAAAATTTTACTCAATATGCACATGTTGAAAGGACCTTAAAGCAACAGACACACCCAGCACCCACATCTTGGTTTCTAAACACAGTTCTCAATTAAAAGGAAACGTGGCTCCTTGAAGAAATGGCTGATGCCAAAGCCAGAACAGGAAAAGGACAAGATTAGCTTGGAGTACCTTACTGCTCTAGAATGGAAGGAAGCATGCAAAGAATGAAAGGGTATTTCAAAAGGCTATGGATGCCCACTGGATGGGGCTCCCGTTAGTCAGGTTGGCGACAAATTATTTTGCACATCAAAATAAAGAATGGTAAAAAAAAAAAAAACAGATTATAATCCATAGAATGAAATACGAATACATGAATTCTAATCATAGGTAATATGTGACAGTAGGTAAATGTTAAGTATCACAGTTGCACAGGTAAAAGTTGGATGAGACGATATTTACACAATGTCTAAGTATCTTGCCACAAATTATTTATTAACTTCAGAAACAAGACAATTATGGCTTTATAGAGATAACCACTCTAACATCCC